AGACCCCCCTCCCCGCCCGGCGCCTTTCCGTGCACCCCAGACACCTTGCGCCCTCCCTGCACCCAGGGAAGGAGCAGGGATCGCCCCGGGCCAAGCCGGGACAGGGGCTGCATTTGCCACGCTTAGCGCTGCCCTGGAATCCAGCGCCTGTCTCGGGGAATTTCAGTGAAAACGGGGGCAGGCCCCCTACGGCCTCGCGTCTGCCGAGGGGCTTCGGGGGCTCGCCCTTGTGGGCCGGGGGCTGCTGCGGACATGGAGGCGAGGGACTTTGCAGCGAAGTTCTGCCTGGCCGAGTGACCTTGGCTTCTGCTTGAGCCAGGCGCTAAAGCGCCCACTGAGAGGTTGGGGGGAAGGGGAGGTTTTCTGGGGCATTTAGCCGGGCCTCAACTACCCCGGCTGGAAAGGTGGATTTCCAGGGAGAGAGGCCGCATCGTTAGCGCTGTCAGCCCCGCGCGGCTCCCCGGTTTGAGATAGATGATTAAAGCGGAAAACCAAATAGAGGAAGGTGTTTTAGCGTTCGCCTTTTTAACCAGGCAGGTGCATTTGCCAATAACCCTTTAACAAACCCCGTCTCTCCAGGGGCCCGGGACAATTGTTTCCATTTAATAAATATTTCCCCCAGGGGCTTTTCACATTAGGCAGGCAATTATTCAAAGAAAACAGGCAGGCAGGTTGGTTCCTAGGGTTATTGCGTGTTCCTTACCCGGAGAATTATAACCTTCTTTAAAAAAAAAAAAATGCAAGCCACCCCATAATAGAAAAACGCCATTCTCCGGAGCAACACAAAAGCAAGGTAGCAAGTGTTATCCCCCTGGACATGTGCTGTCTAATTTCTCCAACTAGTGGGCTTCATTTTTTTTCCAATTTAAAATCAATCTAGAAAGAAAGAAAGAAAGAAAGAAAGAAAGAAAGAAAGAAAGAAACGAAAAAGGAAAGAGAAAGAGAAAGAGAAAGAGAGAAGGGAAGAGAAAAGAAAGAAAGAAACGAAAAAAGAAAGAGAAAGAAAGAAGGAAAGAGAAAAGAAGGAAAGAAGGAAACGAAAAAGGAAAGAAAGAAAGAAAGAAAGAAAGAAAGAAAGAAAAAAGGAAAGAGAAAGAGAAAGAGAAAGAGAAAGAGAAAGAGAAAGAAAGAAGGGAAGAGAAAAGAAAGAAAGAAACAAGAAAGAAACGAAAAAAGAAAGAGAAAGAAAAAAGGAAAGAGAAAAGAAAGAAAGAAACGAAAAGGGAAGGGAGGGGGATGTTTTTTTAGCCAGGAGTTGCTGTAATGATGCAAGAAAGGTCTCGGTTAAACTAGTGATGTGAAGTTAACTGTTACCCCGAAATAAATCAATAGTTTGTCTTTTATATCGCCCCCCTGTTTGACTTTCTCCGAGGAATGCGGCGCAGTTCTGCGCGCCGCTGATGCGGGATGCGGGTCCGCACAGCGGGCCAGGGTAGGGGCTCAGGTCGCCGCGTTTCGCCGGGAGACAGGCTGGGTGCTCGGAGGGAGCGGTAATTTTGGCAAGCTGCTCGGAACAGCCTCCCTACGGGCCACGGGATCTGGAGCCTGGGGCTGGCGTTCCCCAGAAATGGCGCTGGCTGGCCCCGGAGCTGGCCAGGAAGGGGGAGGCGGCGGGGCGCACTGGTGGTACCCGAAAGAGCCACTCTTGCGCGGCGGGTACCAGGCGTCTCCACGGCACTCCCGGAGTTGCATCTGGTGCGGGCAGGGCGACGTCTAAGAACAGCCGCCCCTTGGATCCCGCGTGTTTAGCGCCTGCCCCCCGTCCTCCCCTCCCCCCCCCCCCCCCCCCCCCCTTTTTAGGTGCCCCTCCCTGCGCGCTG